GAAACAGTGCAGATTGGGGGAGTTGGAAAGTTTACACACACGCGCGCACACGCACACACACGCTCACACGCCCATGCACACACACGCACGCGCACACACACACGCACACAAACACACACACAGTCACACGCACACACACGCGCACACGCACACACGTACGCACACACACGTGCGCGCACGCACATGCGCGTGCGCACACACGCACATGCACACACACGTGCACGCACACGCTCACACGCACACGCACGTGCACACACACTCACACACACTCAGATAAGAGACAGAGGGGCCTGAGAAGATTCAGAGAGGAGACACAAACATAAAGGGAAAGAAAGGCAGGGGCAGGGGAAGCGGAGGGGTGGGCATGCATGGATAGAGACCCAGACCAGGGGACTGAGGACAGAGATCAGGGACCCAAGCCATAGTCAAAGGAAGAGCAGCAACTAGGGCCCAAAGACCAAGCTCACAGAAATTGGAGACCCCAGTCCAGAAACTTGGAACACAGACAGCCCCAAGGTCATGCCCATGGGGAGGGGCTGCCCATTGGCTCCCTTCTCACCTCCCCTCAGCTTGGCTCTGGTCCTTGGGTGAGGAAGGGTCATTCAGCAGGGGACTGAGGGGTTAGAGCTGACCCTGAGGAGAGTCCTAGGGCCTGGGAGGCCAAGATGGGGGTCCCATAGGAACTCACTGGCTCGGCAAAGGCATTGTCCCACAGCACAGTGGCGGTGGCATTGTGGTCCTGGCTGCCGTGGACGATGACAACCACAGGAAGGGACAAGGTCTATGGGAGTCAAAGGAATGAGATCTGGAGTATCACCCCCATCACTGTGCACCCTGCTAAAGCAAGACTCCCAAGCTGCATTCCTTACCCACAATTCTAACCACAAACTCCTCCCAACAAAACCTAAGCAGGAGCAAACAAAAAACTTATTTCTTCTTAGCCCATTGCCTAAGTGGCATGGGCTGGTGCCAGATTATCACCTAGCAAAGAGGTGCCCACCATGTAAGGAGGTTTTCTGATAGCATCACTGCGTAACTGGTCTGGGGCCCCTGGGGGGATTCAGAGCTCTCTGGCTTTCCCAAACCAGCCAGGTGGCCTCTAACAGATGCCTTCACCTTTCTGGGTGACCTGCGGGGATGGGAGAGCTGGAGGCCTCACCTTCACCTGGAACACAAGTTCATTGCTGCCAACACTGAACTGAGACTCAAACAGGACCGTGAACTTCTCCTCCGTCACGGACTCCGCACCCCGCCGGTCAGCGCGCTTGATCCTCTTCAGCGACTGTAGGGCGGGAGTTCAGAGGGGACAGGGAGATGGCAGCTGCTTACAAGGACTCTGCTTGGGGCAGACCTTCCCTCAGGGGCCGGGCTCCGTCCTCACCATGTTTCTGAAGTGGGCGCTGAGGGTGCCCGTGGCTTGGTGATACTCCATGACACAGCAGTTGTTCAAGATCTCCCCACTGCTCTCGCTGCAAAGGAGAGGGGGGCCCCAGGCTAGGAGCACGGTCCTGTCCGCATCTTGGCCTGGGGTCTTCGCTCTGGCCAGGCCTGCCAGCAGCCCCTGCCCCTGGCTCCCTAAGCCTGTCCCTTGGTGTCTCTTTGGGTTACTGTCTTCTCCATCAACCTGAGAGTACCCAAGGAAAGGTCTGCAAGGGTGAGGTCTGGATCTCCATCAGGAGGTTGGTCTTGGGCACTGAGACTGATGTGAGGGTCTCTGGGGCCTCCATGATCAACTCCTGCCCACCGCCTGGCCTCAGAGTTCCTCTCCACCCACTCAGGACATGCCAGCCACACAGGCCTTGGCCGTCTGCTGAATACGCCGCGCCTGGTGCCCACTCGGGGTTCTGCGCTTGCTCTGTCACCCCAAACACGCTTGACCTTGTCCTCATCCAGGTCTCAGCTCCAGTATCTCCTTGGCCACCTCTCTGGTGTTGTTCACTACCAAACCCCGCCCTGAACTCACATCCAGACGCTCACATCATATCACTCCGATAGGCACTGACTTATTTTTAAAAAGTATATTATTATACTTATACCAGCCAAAAAAGACAAAAAAGGATATTATTGTTTGTCTCCACAGCAAAAATACAGGCTCTCAGAGAGTGAGAACCTCGTACATCTTCTTCACCTTCGCCCCAGATCACATGCTAGGAACTCAGTAAACATTTTTTAATTCGATGACAAAGGATGGGACCAAGTCCCCAACATCACTCATCCACTCGCTCATTCATTCACCCACTGCGCACCTTCTGGGTGGCCCGCCCTGACCCCTGGACCCCCTCAGCCCCCAGGTTCTTCTCTGGTCACAAATGCCTTCTCTACACTCTTCCTTCAGGACACGGTACATGCTCTCTCTGAGAAAGTCTTCCTGCTCCACCCCCGTCACTAGCTCCTGCTATTCAGCTGGGGCCCTGACACCAGTGGTCATGTCTTCGTCACCCACACCATGACCCC